TTTTTTTGCTGTCTTTCCTGGTAGCAATCGTTCTAGGAAGCTATTTTACAACTGGTTTTTTTTTCTTATCCAATGTAAAGGCTGCAAATTATATTGATGAAATATGGCCTTCTTCCTCTTGAAGAAAGGCCCTCACAACTGAAGAGAGATGATAGAGAAGATGGTGGTGAACAAATTTAGAACCTAGACTGCAATGTTTCAAAGGAGAAATGCTTTTCCTTGGTTAGCAGGTTAGCATATTTTGGCAATGCTGAGAAATGGGTAATGTTTCTATGCACAATACAACGTCAGTAGTAAAGGTAATAATAAATCCATTTTATGACAGATCCATCCAAAGGTATTGTGCTGTTTGTGATTTTACTTTGATGTTTATATTCCCTAGAAACACGCCTGAGGAGGAGATGCGGTTACCCTTATAAATATAAGCTTATATAATATGGTGTTAACTTTGTATTTCATGCACTTCAAGGGCTTGCAAGGTTAAGAAAATCTTACAGTTTTACCTAATGCAAGCACACATGTGGGAATACAGTATCGTCTTCTGTATCCACTTGAAGTCTGTATAAGCACAAAGATTGCTAAACGGTTTTCAGAGTTTTGACACATAACTCATTGCTGCAAAAAAGTGGTTTAAGCTCCTCCATTAGTGAAGTTTTGTGAGTGGTAGAGAAATGTCAGTCCATCTTTCCTCAACTAAAGTCAGTTTATCAGAATTGTCTTTGTTATGGCTTAGCCATTATATAATATCCTGGGATTACAAAATACTCTGTACACGTACTTCTCTAAAATGTCTAATCATACAGATGTTGCCCTTGTAGAGTAAGACAACGTGATTATCCTTTTGCCATACATTCATATATTTAAGATTTAGTCATAACAATGTTTATGTTTGATGACTTAGAACCTGGATTTTACATTAAAACAATAACAGCAAAAAAAGAAAATTCCAACATCCTTAAAGATAATTAATTGACTAATAAGAAACACTTACCAGCTTTATATGAGTTTAGTCAGCCAAGAATTGAACACAGTTAATTAAGAGTGTTCTATCTTTTATAGTCTTCAGGCTTGAATAAATTATTAGGACAAAACCTAAGCTGTGATTTCAGTTCTGCAAGGTGCTGGTTTTCTTCACCATAGCTTCAGTTCAACAAGGATCTAGGTTTAGATTTAAAGAAAAGAAAAAAAGATGTAAATAGATCTGAATAGCAAATCCAAAACTTGAATCTATAGCCCTTTGTGTTCAAAGCCTCAGAAACCTGAACTCCCCAGTTATGTTCCTGATTGCTCTACTCCTAGGGGCACCTACATTTTTGCTTCGTAACAGCCCCAGCATTTGCAGGTATAAGTAAATAATTTCCCAAATCCTGCTTATGCCCGGCTGGAATCTAGAAAGTGGACAGATTATCACTCTCAACTTATAGAAGGCCTAGAAAATAAACAAGCTCTGAGCGATTCTGATACACATTACAAGGATGCATATAATTTTTTTTTTCTAAAATGTCACTGCAGCTGTTTTTATTTCTAAAATAATACTCAAATTTTATATAAAGTCTTGTGATTAGAGAGTGTAGGCAGTGGCGTGCCAGAATCAAATCCCTACATCTCCCACCATCCATTACTGTACTAAAACTACTAGCCTGTGTGGATTTATGCCACCCTGCAGTACAAAATGGGAGATTCGTAGAGTCAGGAAGAGAGTGCGATGTAGCGTACTGACTAGGATGCCTATTTAGGGAGGAGAGCTCTTAAGACTCCACTCCCTGCAGCAAACACTGGCTCTGCATTTTGTATTTAACAGCCAGTGGATAACAAATAACTTGGCTGTGGAAATATCAAACTGAGTGTTCTCCTTCCTGGCTGAGTGGTTTTAATCCAGTAACTAATGACAAGTAAATAACCTGCGTGCCACTGGCACGGACCCAAAGGATATTGCCGAGCTCTGGTCCTGGAACTGTACCTTGGTGGAAGGCAGGAGAAGAGGAAACTGAAGAGCAGGAACATTGCCAATATTCCTAACTGAGAAAAATAAGGCAATAAAAAGATGAGCAATCAGTGCACCGATCACTGGGCTACCAAATGCAAGACAAAACCAGGCACTGACAGCATCAGTTTAGTGTTTGGTGTTTTTTTTTAAAAAAAGAGTTTGTTTTCATTTTTAAGTGAATGATGCTGAGTTAACCCCCTTCAGTCTCTGGATCATGGTGGAGCCCATTTGTACCCCTGTGTAAGGAGCCTCCTCTTGAATGTGATGGGGTTTGAAAAAGACTGCAGCCTGCAACGTTCCTCTTGGCGAGCTTCAGGAATGAGCAAGAGATTGAGGTTTCATCTCTGAGGCATTTGATAATCAGGTGATAAATTCTGTGTTTTCATATCCAGTTTGAAGACCAGATGTCTGGCAGCATGGTGTTTAATTTGTGTATAATCAAGTCCTGTATCATATCTAGTGTTTAGGTATATAGTTAGCTTCAGCTTTGATGAACTGTTGATGTGCATATAGAGTTAATTGTTGATAAACAAATACATATGCTTATGTACTTCCTGAGCTGAGGACAGACCACTTTGGCACTATCCCATCCTATGCGCTTTTTATCTACTTTTATGAATACTCATGGTTGTATGTTTGTATGTGCACACACACAAAAATACGAAAATATATATATACACGTGAAGAGCCCTACTCTGCGGAAATCAATGGCCATGTTCCCTTCAGCTTCAATAGAATGGTGGTCCTAATCTGTGTGCGCTTTACTGCACCTTTTTGTGTGATTTACAAGCCATGAGCAATATATACTATACAGCTTTTTAATTTAATAGATTTTTTCTATTTTAAGGAAGGTAATAAATTTTTCTAGGATGAAATACATTATTTGGTAAAGAGTTCTAGTGGAAATTAGCCTAAACATTCCAATAACAGCCTGATAAGTTCAGTCAGAAATTAACCCAATGTGAATTAGTTCAAAGAAAAGCTGAAATATAACTCTGACAATAACAATGATTTTATATTGTGTGCTTTTGTATCAGATTTAAACACTTAACTTCACCAATAAAAAGCATTTCATTAAAAGCTTTCTGTCTTGGGAAACAGATGACCAGTGAAACACCTTGAATTTCTTGGGATTTTATGACTGGATTGATGTAGGATTTTGTAGATGTGGTTAACCTAAAATATGTGTGTGTTGAGTTCCAGAGGAAGAATCGGGAATCAGCTCCTGATTCCACCAGCTTCCAATTTCTTCCTTTGATTTTTTTTTTTTTAATAATTTTAGGCAAGTTTTCTTATGCCACTTTCTACATCACTAAGATAGGAAAAGTAAATTCTTTTCCTTTGAAAAAACATTTTGAGACATGTAAGTAGAAAATGCTATGTAAGAGCTTTGGATTATTATGGTAATTTAAGAGATAATGAATGTCATCCTACAAAATAACTCAGAAAGTGTTACATGGAATACTAAATGTTTTTTAACTTCTTGAGTTTGAATTGCTGTTCAGTTCCTAAGCCTAGACTGATGTTTTGTTTGAAACTTCTTTTGAAATTCTTTCCACCTGTTTAAGCAGTTTTGACTTTGCTGCAGACACGGCACAATAGTTGCATTATAGTGAGCTATTCTGCTTGTCAAATGTAAAACCTAGATTTTCATTTCCTTACATCTTGCTGCCAACGCTGTTCAACTATCTGTCAGTTAGATGATTTCCTGTCACACAAATGGCAGTCGGTATGTCTGCCAATCGGTTCTGTTCCTACAAATTTCCAAGTTCAAGAAATCAGATTCAGTTTTAGGCACTGTTGTAAGACAATTAACTATTTCAGTAAATACAAAAAACCAAACCTTTTGGTTTGTACAGTTCCAATTTGCATTGCTTATATAACAATTCACGAGTTCTCTGAACACTGGACACAGTATTGAACTGACACACACCTGAGCTATAACATCACGTACCCTCGTGAACATCAGCAAGAGTAGACTTTCCTGTGAACATAGGAGAAGGATTTGGAGGTGTGCTACACTTAAGTATCACTAGTCCAGATTTTGAGTGCTTACTCCTCGTCCTGCATACTGCACCCACTTGCAGAAATATCTCCTCTGCTCCTTTCTCCTTCTGCTGGCATGATTACAGCCAATAAATAGATGTGTATGCCATGCCTGTTGCAGTTTTTAGATCAAAAGGAAAAACCTCGTATTGTTTCTGCAATCCTCAAAAGAATTGCATTCTAAGATAAGTTTTCAGATGTTCTCAAACATTTCATAGTTCTTAAGGGAAATGTTCTGATAGCATGCTTTTGCCTGTTTTGAAAAACAAGAGGTTATGATATCATTTTTCATTAAGAACTTTTACAATTAAACTTTGTGCGTATGGATGTAATTGTGAAATTACACAAAGCTTAAACAAGCTTTAGTCACATTAAGGCGGAACTGTTCTCAAAAAAAAATTCAAGCTCTATCTCTGCAAAAAGCATTGTTATGTTTTAAAAGTGAGAAAATGTAAAATACTCAAAGATTTGATGTCTGCCATAAAAAGAAGCAATAAAATTATTCGTAATCACGTTTTTATTCATTAAATTGTCCATCAAAAGCTGAAGAAGAATATTTAAGCCTGCAGTAGTCAGACCGGCAAGTTTATCTGCTGTTACTGCATGGGATTCATAATATGTACTACGGTATTTTGATTATGTTTTTTTTTATCCAAAGATGACCGGAATCTTCTTTTCTGGGACTTAAGGGGAAGAAAGAGAAGATTTAACATCACCAAATGGATCTGCAGTATCTGGTTGAACTGCAGAGAAAATATATCAAAAAGTTTAAATTATTGCTTAACAAAGAACACTGACAGACCTGATAAAAGAAATAGAAGATTCCATTTTTATTATGTTTCAAGGAACATTGTTATCGCTTTATGCTGCAAACTCTTTTTATAATGCAGCAAAAATATTATCTTCAAAAATAGTGTGAAATTCAACAGAACTTAACTCTTTTATTCTTGTTATTTATGCTTTCTAGGGGTAAGAAGATCGGACATGATATAGATTTTTTGATCACCAATCCAGGACCAAGAGAAGATGATGAACTATTGCATAAAGTTGTTGACTTATGGCAAAAGCAGGTATGAACTAAATAACATTTGGCAAAAAATGACATAGTCTAACAGCACTGAATTAAGCCTATGTAGTGCTTAAATAATGACTCCTTTTTACAGATGACTGCAATAATTTGAAATTGAATGTTGCTCTGTTTGATTATTAATCATGATGATCTAGGTGATGATCTCTAGCTCTGAACGCTAAAGTTGAAGCTTATGTCAGAAGTACTCCACGCAAATTCTGTTCTATCTTACCCTAAGAATATGCAGCTAGTCAGAGGCAAGAAATCGAGCTAGGTGGAGTTTTGAGTGATACAGCAAAACTATTCTTACACTTTGAAACAGAACAGTATTTGTTTAATTTCTCCTTGAGATGGGAGTAGGTTCTCCCAAGGGGAACTACTTCAGGGAGTTCCAGATTTAAGCATAGTGGATTTGAGTGATGTCATGGTGTAGGGTGAACAAGTTTGAAAGCTTAGGTACCAAAGCCCTGAAATTCAGCCCACAGTTTAGCATTTTTCCTGGTGTCCACTGGAATATTGTCCAAATTGACATAGTCCTCTGTGGTGTCTGGGTTTGGAAGAATGCGTGCATTTCACAGAGGAATTGTCCATCTAAGGGTTGGTTTGGATTTTTTTTCTGTTCAGCTTGCTTCAGTTCCAAGCAGCTTTAAAGTTAGAAAAGTCTGAATTATAACAGATGCAGGTACCTCAAAATATTCCTGGGTCAGAAATACAGTATGTTGGGAATAATAAGATTTTGTTTCTTTTTCTACCTTTCTAGTCAGCTAAGATATTTTTCAACATCGAACCTGTACTGTTCAAAGGAACTGAGTGCATTTCAACAAGTAAAAGGCTAACACTCTGTCTGAGGTGAATCACCAAATGTCCTACTGCTAAGTCAGCTTTCAGTGCAGATAGCCTGAAGAGAATGCTTTTGAATTGATTTTTGAACTATGTACTTTAATTAATGTATAATAGATTAACACATGAAAAACATGAAAAACGTCCAACCAGACAAAAACTTGTCTGACTGTATAAAGTTACCTATTTCAAGGTGGTCAAAACCTTTCAATGGGCATGGAAGGGCATCAGACTTGTTTTTTCCTGGTAAAATGCAACCTTAGCTGAATTCCTCTTCCTTCAGTTTACTTTTGGTCTTCGAAATATTAACAGATTATTAATAATTTCTTAGATTTATATGACTTCCATCCTAATTCTCTATGGAAAGTGAATGTATTGAAGTAGATTACTAGCAGGTATAATTTATCATACTTCAATAAAAGCAGTGAAGCTGTGGCAATTAATGAGTACTGAAGAGCTACTCTATTTTTATCTTTTTATTATGTAAGTAAAGTTTTTTTTCTCAGTTTCTCTGCTCCCTTTATTCTGAGGAAAGTTACATTTCGTCTTGGAAGCGGTCTTTTTGCCTTCTTTATCAGACCTGAACCTCTAAGAAGCCATGTGTGGGTCCTCCAAAAATCCTGTTTATTATCACACAGCAGAAAGAGAAAGAGAGGCTGAGGCTAGAGCCTGCCCTGAGTGCAGCCCTTCATTCCTTCTCCCATTCCATCACACTTCACTTACGTTAATGAGAACAATGGCTGTGATCTGAGAAGTCTGGCAACTGCTGAAGCTTTTCAGGTCATTCTGAGCTGCTTTCATTAAGTGAAATTGAAAGGAAAGAAATAGAAAATAAATTGTTCTTGCTGATTTTTTTTTAAGGATAAGATTTGGCAGAAACGAGTGAAGGGATAGTATGAGAGGTCAAGGGTGGCCAAGGGTTTGATGAAAGGATTAGAATTCCTCTAGGGATCCCAGCATGAAGAAAATGTCGGAAGGCTAGATGCACAATGGCTGTAGAAACCGTACTGAAACAAGCTGAGGATTGTTTAAAGCTATAGACAAACATTTCCTGTGTTCTGTTTGTCCTCCAGAATTTTTACTGCTTATGTAGCTATACTGCCTCTCTACAGTGGCAGTTGTAACATACAGGCTTTTACTGGCACTACTGAAAAATAAGCTGCCAGCAAAATCAAACTGCAAAAAAGAGAGAGAGGAATTATGCTCTTCTTGCCTTTTACTACCTTTGATTTCTGAGGGGGACACAAAAAAACTCCAAACCTAAAGCACTTTTATACTGTTTGACAGTACACCTGTTGTCTGCTTCACAGCTTTGCACTTCTGTGCTACTGCTTCAAAGCCCAAATTTATCAAAGAACGTCACTGAGGTCATGATGTTGACTTCCTTTTGGCAACTCTTAGCAAAGGATTCTGTAATGTTTAACTTCCAAACTATGAACCTCAGCCTTATTTAAATAGTGTTAAAGGGCCTTTTCCTTAGCTGAAAATTTTAATGTAACAAGATCCTTCCGTTCAAAGCTGTCGAAAACTAAGTGGTTAAATCAACACCGTCATGCTCTTTGATGAAGCATCACCAGGGATAAATGGGCCGAGGAACAGAGAACACAAAGTCTCCACTGAGCTTCAAAGTAGAGAAGCAAAACGAAAAAGCTGCAATGCAGTGCACAGGTTATGGTTTTAATGGTTCCAAAAAGCTTCATAAAGAAAGTAAGAAATTACTTCTGTGGGTTAGAGCTTGGAAGTCCGTGCGCAAACAAGCTGAGCCATCTGTGTCGATGCAGCTTCATTCACATGTTGTGTAAAGACGTTTTCATTTTTTGCTAAAAACCTATACAGCTATATTGAGCACCGTTCCTGTTGTTACATGTGTACTTTCAACAAAGGAAGAGATACCATTACTACAGGCTTTTCTGCACTTTGCATTTTTTTCCCTTTGTATTCATGTAAGTATAATGTTGCGTTTTTCTTTTGGCTTTTAGGAAAATGAGGAATGTAGATCCCTGCTTGTGCTTACTTATTTTAGTATATTAGTGGTCTGGTTTTGACTTTATTATTCACCCTTGCTGAGGTGAACAGGTCAGGAAGGGCAAGGCTTGATGTCTCAATGTGGATAGTGCAGAGCAAGTAACCAGCCTCACTTTTTCATTACTCGAAACAGTTTTTTGTAAACAGCGTTCACAGATCAGCAGCACATTCATTATTGAGTGAGACCTGGATTTTAGCAGCAACAAACTCTGTTTCTAAGACAAATAACAAAAACGCTTAAGAGGCCGGAATAGAGAGCTTGTTTTTTTCAGAATGCTCTGCCCATAAGGATGCAGAGCACCTTTGTGAACACATATTGTCTCACCTTTTGACTCAATGCATTCTGGCTTAGCAGGAGCTGAGAACATTCTTACCTAAAATAGACTATTGCATGGTGATTAGAGCACTGGACATGAGAGAACTCTGTTTAAATTACTTTAGGCAGAGGATGGGGCTGAATCTGATTGTCCTGCTTGTGAGGTTGTTGCATAAAGTAGGCAGAAGTGTTCCACTTCTTGTTATGTTTTAAGCGAAGATCCAGGCAGCAGTGGCATTTCTTATGACATCTGATCTTCCTGGTGTGTAATGTATATCTGTATGTGGGTAAGTATATATGTATACGTCCCTATCTATCTATCTATCTATCTATCTATCTATCTATCTATCTATCTATCAGTTTATCTTGCTCACGAGTGCAAATGCTCATGGCATAGAGAAGGGAAACATGTTCATTCCTGGACTCCAGTGCTGTCTGTTCATTGCTATCAAAATCAGGTTATTCAGGACATGCCCAGAATTAGACCATTCCGACATACAGGGAACTTTAAGACGAAAAAGAGACCAAGGCAGCTGCATGGTTATGCAGCAGCTGCAAAGTTTTGTATTGCTGATCAAGCCTTTGATGCATTTACTAATGATTCCTCACTGTAACAGGCCTGACTGCTCCCAGGCATCAGTTCCTTGAGCTGTTCCACTTTATAGAATTCTATCTGTCTCACCTAGGTAGAGATTTTTTTGAACTAAACTTGCCTACATCCTATTTTGGATTAGCTGTAGGTTTTTCACTGAAAAAAAAATAAATCCAGTTTCACTTTATTAAACCATCTCAGAAGGAAATTCAGAGCCACAACATACATACATTTCAGAAGAACATACTGGTTTACATTTTTAGGTGGTATAAAATGATCCTACTTAGCTTTAACAGAATTAATCCAGCTACCAACAATTATGAATAATGACAGCTTGTAACATTAAAAATAGAATAGGATTTTGTATAAGTAAAAATGACAAAGAATGCTAATGATATATTTGGATTGATTTTTCAGCTATTGAGTTCATATTTTTCTAAAAATTCACTCTTTTCCTCAGTTTGATCATGGATTTACTTCAATATCAATGCTATTGATGTGCCAGCACTCAGTCTATTTAAGTAAAAGTGCATAATCATTCTAAAAAGGAAAAATTGTTGTGGGTGTTAACATAACTGCCCTAAAAATATACATTTGGTTTTGATGGTGGTGTAAATTTGAGAAATGAAAATGCCCACATTTTAAAACTTGATTATGTAAACAAGGTCTATAGCACTTTATGGTGTATAGATCAAGCTGAAATTTGCAAAGAACTGCAGATTCCCTGACACAGAGTAATAAGAAGGCTGCTGTTTTGCAGCTAGCAGTAGCCAAAACTTCACACAATCTTCATAGCTGGCTGCCCATTCAGGCAATACTTTTTCAAAAGGTATAGAAGTGCCACTTCAGCTTTACTTTATGGGGTGATGGTGATGTCCAGTGCCTATTCAAATTAGGTTAATTGGAAATATTATCCCAATGGATATGACCTAGGCTTTGGCTCCTATTTAAAGGAGATATCCTGACTTTGAATCAGGTTTCAATTGCTTGTTGACGTCAGCACTTTTGTAATTGTTTCCTAATTGTGGGATTTTTTTAAGTTGAGATAGATATTTTCAGCGGTCTACATACTCTGATGCTCTTCCTATTATCTTTAGAAATTGCCAAGTCAACAAACTATTAAAAAACACTACAGAATAACCCAGAGGTAGTCCTAAAACATCTTTCTGGTCACACTTGCTAACCGTACCCATCTACAAATACTTAAAATGTGTTCAGGTAGAAAACAGCCTAGTTAGCAATTGAAAACAGCAGTAGGAAGGTTCTTCATGACTGCTTGATGTTAAATCTCAGGGACATAGAGCTGTTGGAGCAGGTCCAGAGGAGGGCCACAAAGATGATCTGAGGGCTGGAGCACCTCTCCTGTGAAGACAGGCTGAGAGAGTTGGGGTTGTTCAGCCTGGAGAAGAGAAGGCTCCAGGGATATCTTATAGCAGCCCTCCAGTACCTGAAGGGGGTCTACAAGAAAGCTGGAGAGGGATTTTTTACAAGGGTGTGTAGTGATAGGACAAGGGGCAATGGCTTTAAACTGAAAGAGGATAGATTTAGATTAGATATAAGGAAGAAATTTTTTACAATGACAGTGACAAAACACTGGACCAGGTTGCCCAGAGAAGTTATGGATGTCCTATCCCTGGAAATGTTCAAGGCCAGGTTGGATGAGGCTTTGAGCAACCTGGTCTTAGTGGGGGGTGTCCCTGCCTGTGGCAGGGAGGTTGGAACTAGATGATCTTTAAGGTCCCTTCCAACCCAAACCGTTCTATGATTCTATGACCCCAAGGAGTGTTCCTTTGAAGTTCTTAAATATGAAAACAGGATGAGGAAAAAAAAAAAAATACATAAGAGATCCATCTTTAAATGCTGTGGTTTAACAGGCAGAACTTGTACTCTTCAAGCAGCTGAGACATCTCAAAGGGAGGACCTTTAGTAAGTGTGATATCCAGGATGACTTTAGGTAAGGGGAATTTCTTCATTTTTAATGTGGGCAATACAGCAAAGACTGACATCTCAAATTTACCCTGTTTTCATTTACAACTATATATTCCTGTAATGAGTAGCACGCTGGAAAAAATGAGTCTGAAAACTAAGTAAAGCTGAGGCAGAAGAGATCATCTATAAGATGATACTACAGCTTACTGTTAGAATGAAATTACTGATGAAGCAGAGGATACAGTGTATGACTAAAATTTAAAAATTGACATCTTAAAAGACCTGAGCATTTTCTGTCAAGGCCCTTTTACCTATTCCAGACAGACAGGTAATTCCTAATCATATGTACTCAAGAGTTTACAGGCTAAAAATCCAAGTATGGGGTACTGGTGGCCACGTGTGACTGTCCCCAGATCTCACTGAGACAAAACACTTCCTAGGTGCTCATCTTCTTCCCTGGGAAGAGAGAAACCACTGCAGGCTTTAATATCTTGCCGGATTTCTCAAGTGATCACAAACAAAAATCCTACTAAGACTTCCCATCTGCAGTAGGAATTCCATTCCTTTTGTAGTCCATCGAAAGATGGACTTTAATTCCTGATTTCTTGCACCAAAACTGAGGAGATTTCAACTTCATTCAAGCAAAGAGGACGCAAACACTGATATAGACTGAGGCAAATGTTCAAAACTGGTGATCTGAGCACCACTGTTTACAAGCACCATATAGATACTGGGAAATGTAGGTACCTGGAACTGTAAAATAAGACTACCAAAACTCAGTCTAGTTAAGATTCTGCCTTAGGAAATAAATTGTTTCGATTTGTTCTGGGATATGCTATGTGTAATGCATCGAATCTCAAAGAGCAAAAAGGAAAATGAAGTAAAAGATGAGAAAGCACCGATGAAGTAGCTAGATTTCTTTATATAGAATGGAAAGCATGTCAGTGTTTAATCAAAGCTTGAAGTCATCAATTAATGGTCAATGACCAATGAGATTAAAAAAATTTTTTAGCATTAAAAGCAACAAAACTAACCTGAAGGCAGGCATAGTTTCATCAAAAAGAGCGAGATAATAAGCTGTTATGCATTAACATTCAACAGCTGTTTTGAGTCTATATTTGGAAATAGGAAGCATCAGTGCCCTGTGATGTTGGGATAAAATTAAAAAAAAAAATTACTATCTGTTTTAAAAATGAATGTGAGAGAACAGCTGCTAAAATTAAGCATTTTCAAATCAGCAGACTTGGAAACTAGTAATCCAAGAGAATGAGCTACTTATAGAGTTTTCTTGTATCAGTTAATAAATCTTCAAAATCAGGAAAAGTTTGAAAGAAGTGAAAGAATGTCAATGCAAGTCAAATAGTTATCATTAAAAAGGTTGCCCTAGTGACCCATAAAACAGCCTGTGACTGATTCCCAGTAAAATAATGGAATCCTTAATTTGGAAATATCATCAACAAAAACCTGGAGGCTGAAAATATAATAATACCTAACAGTGTCTCTTCATGGAAATCATGTCTTGTTAACTGTTTTTGTTACGCTTTTGGTTTTTTGTCAGAACTACAGCTCTGAGTGATAGAAATAATTTTATTGCTGTAAAGTATTCTCGAAGGTATTTAATGTATTATCATGTAAAGTTACCACACTTACGCTATATAAAAGAAATAATCAAAACCCAGTGTTTAATATGGAGATATTCTTTAAAAAAATCAGATCATTGTCACCTATGTTCATAAGAGGTCTGGCCTGGAGACCATTGTAGTTAACCATCAACAGCCATCAAATGAAAACACTTCTACATGCTCAGTTCAATACTGCAATTTAAACCTCCTCCTCACAAAACTAGTATGATTTTTTATTATATATTACAGGATATGTTAACTTAAAGTCAGGAGGCATTCCTAACCATGCTTCTTTATGGTGAGACTAGTATAAGAATTCCTAGTCCAGAGAAAGGAGAATGTGTAAACATTTGAGGCACTACAAAGAAGAGACAAAAAATTGATCCAAGGACGTAAAGAAACCCTGATGATGGAAATTTTAAGAAACTGAGTCTATTCATCTCATCAGTGAGAAATCTGAGAAGTTGGTTTAATCAATGTGTAGTTTTAAATAAATGTAAAAAGATGTATGAAAAGACATGTGACAGTTGTAGGCTTGTTGATCTTAAAGAGGAAAACTAATGAGCTTATTCAGTCAGAACATAAAGTTAGTAAGTTTGTCTGAGTAGTCTTCTGTCTAGTAATAACAGTTAAACACCTGATAGACTATGAAGAAAGTGGTTTATGCATGATTATTTCCAAACTTTATAAAAAATTTATTTTGCAAAGGCGAATCTTAGAACTCTCTTCTTTATGTGAAATCAGGAGCTCAAAGGAGGCAGTCACAGTGGTCTCCTATATTTTGTGAGTCTATAAAAGCCAAATTAAGGCTAAGTGTGCCAGGACTTAGGCACACATCTAAGTGTTTTCATCATGTGGAACAGCTCTTAGAAAGCAGAATCTTTTTGCCAGGTGAGCCCTCCTGGTAGAGATGGCTTCAGTGACAGTAAGCATTGTTGTATTTTTACGTGTCAAGCTCCATTTCTATTCTGAAGACTCAAGGATGACTGAAGGAAGTGGTGTAATGGACAGTATCTCCTTTATTTCTTTGTTATTGTGTATTTGATGTTTTATATTCTTTAAAAAAGATATGCTGGGCAGCAGAGAGAGGGATGGTGCTCCTTGTCTTGTCCCAGGTGCGTTGCTTTGGATGATGAGAAGTTTTCTGGCTGGTGAGGGGAGATTACACTTTACCCAAGGGCAGCTGAAGATGCACTCCCTTCAAACAAAAGGCATGGGCAGGGCCATTTGACGTCTTTGGAGACTCCAGCCCTTGTCACAAGGAAATCTCACAGAACAGACACAGTCCAAATGCTCTGTTTGGAATTTGTCAGCAAGACTGTGTTCTGGACTAATCTGTTTATTTAGATGTCAGCCATGTGGGAAAGCATCAATCCCTACTCTGAAATTTCTGTTGACATCAACTACAAAAGGCTTAGGAGGAAAGGATGGAGAAGAAGAATTGCAAATATTGTCTCCTCAGTACAGAGCAGGACATCACCACTATCAGATGACTACCACTGCAGATTTCCCTTAAAAGATCTGCTAATATTTTCCCAAAAGTTGCAGCTGTTTCTTTCTCTGCTTAGCTCAGATTTGTCCCTGTATGTTTCTGTGTTTACTGAAACTGCATTTTTAATGGATTTTTTAAAAACAACTATCTAGAAACTCTGGTATTACAGTAAAACCAGTCCAGCAATTCAATGTGAGCAATGTCTTCTCTGTAGGGTTTACTCCTATATTGTGATATCATTGAATCAACATTTGTAAAGGAACAGCTACCAAGCAGAAAAGTTGATGCCATGGATAATTTTCAGAAGTGTTTTGCAATTTTAAAATTATATCAGCCGAGAGTAGACGACAACAGTTACAACACGTCAAAAAAATTTGATATGACAGAAGTCAAAGACTGGAAGGCAATCCGTGTGGATCTGGTCATAACCCCCTTTGAACAATACGCATATGCTCTGTTAGGCTGGACAGGCTCCAGGGTAAGTAACCACGACAGTCTATGTTTTCTTAGCATTGCTAACCTATTTTTGCTGTTGCAGGACCATTCAGAATTCATGGATTTTTAATAACTATTCTTCTCTCCACACATCACATTTCATGCTGTCATCAACCTGTGATCATAGGTTGGAGCTGACGAACTCATCACTGACATTTATGGATGTCTCTCTAGAGGAGTTAACATCTGTTTTCCTTGAAACTTGATTTTTAAGTTCATGGACTGAAGAGGTAGATTTTCAGTCAGTTGCGTTGTCTTTTTACATCATACTAGTGTTAACGAGCAAGGCAAATGGTTACTAAGTAGAGAGATGATTTGGAAAGTGTGACAGAACTTTACAGAAAATTAAACATTTGAGGAAAAGATCTTCTGAATTGGAACTTAATTTGTTTCATAGGAAATTGAAAACAATTTGACATCTTTCTTTCTGGATTAGATAAAACGTTCTCTTTCAGTTGTTTTTTACTTGAATGTTTTACATCGTAAAAAAGTGGGAAAATTTTAAATTTACACATTAATTCTGAACTAGAATAAAATATGTTTTGATTGATATTTTAGTAAGTTAAGAAAACTTGAAATTATAACTACTTTCACAATAAACACTGTAGTCAGTGGGTATAATATAGAATATTACAGTATTTTCAAAATAAAAAATTCTATCTAAATGCAAATTCAAAACTCAAATGATTAATCTCTCTCCAGACAGAATTATTTTTTAATCTGTTCTACATGCTTGCCTTCTGATGTTCCTTTTCTTAGGGAGTGATTACATGGTATAACAGAGAGCTCCTGAGCCTGCTCTGAATGATCTTTTTGATGTGCTAGAAGCAGTACAGGTGCATTGCCATGCTTCTACTCAGGTTAATTGGAAGCAGGATGTTATAAACCAGGCAAAATGTTGCAACTGATGTGTTCTCCTGCTGAGCTGACGAGTTACTTCAGTCGCTTTTCTTTTTTGAGATAATGAAATGTATTTATTTGAACCTTGAATTAAGTTCTGCAGACTTTGGGGTCGTTCTTATCCTAGAAGTGTTTGGCTACTTAAAAGCCCTTCTCTCAACTCTGTAGGTGAGTGTCTACACTAAAAAGGCACTTTGTGAGGCCCTTTGGTTGAGTAGGCAATGACTTCATCTTTCTCTGCGTCACTGAGCTCCTACTCCCTGTTGAGATAATTCACTTCCAGACTGTGGGAGCTCATAGTAGACTATACATAAGCTTGCTTTTTCATACAGTGCTCAACTATTCTCAGACTAACCAACTGAAATGATGGACCATTGCCTATCAAAACATTGTCCTTTCAGATGATCCATTTTTTTAGCCTATTGTTTTTTAATAGAGGTAATTTTAACATGGTTGGTTTTATTTGGTTTGGTGTTGGAGCTCTGATACAAAGGATAACAATTTTCATTTGTCAGAATTGCTCACATTTGCTATATCTTTTACAGCAATTTGGACGTGATTTGCGGAGGTATGCTACTCATGAAAGGAAGATGATATTGGATAACCATGCTTTATATGACAGGAGAAAGGTACTGTTTATTCTCAGAAATAAAGCTATCATGTTTTTATTTCTGAGTATACATTTTCAGTTTATTTTTTATATTCCAGAATATAGAATATTTTATCTTAGTTCTCTGTATATTACGTGATAAAACTGTCCCACCTTCATAAGGTTTAGTTTCACTGACAGAGCCTGATTAAATCTGAACAAGTAAATCCAGAAATCTTTTTTGGCAATGCTAAGGTAATTTCTGAAATTTGACAAGACACATACATTAGACAATGCTATTTGGAAGGAATTGTGCAACCTTCACAAAACTAAGAACAACTCATCCGAAAGTATTTGAAAAAAGGTATTTTACTGTCCCATTTCAGAATGAAATGTCATTTCTGTGTCACAGGCACAATTTCAACAGGGATTATGCTGACATTTCAAAGGAAGAAGGCATATTGAGTGGTATGGGCTCAACTAGAAGGCCTAAGGAAGTTTTTGTAGGGTATGGTACAAAGTGGAGATCAGGAATTGTCCTGCTTTTAAAGCCCTGCATTCTGTGTGGAGTTCTGCTTAGTCAGGCTTGCTAGTCTTGGTAGTAATTGATAGTATTTCTGGTCTAAATGCTCTTGGCTGCAAATATACTGACCTCTGCATTTATCTGGCTTAATGTCTGTATTTGTATTAGGCCATTTTAATAATAAGCAAAAATCAATATTGAAGATGTTTGTTGATGTCATTATAGGGGAAGGCCAAAATACCATGTCAAGATTTTACATTAATCTTTCCTATATATTCCTTATAGAACAAGCACTACTTTTAGCATCTCTACTTACGTGCAGCATTGTCTCATTGTTTGTTTGTGAGATGCAGCAGTGATCTAAGCCCTTGCTCCATTTCAGCTGTCTCCTCCATATGTGCTTGTCAGATGCTATAGCATCCTCAGTTCACATAGAAACCTGGGGAAATGATCAGACTAATGATCCATTTAGTCAAATATCCTGTCTCCAACAGTTGTCAATAGTAGATGCTTCAGAAGAAAATATAAAATCACATGATAGAGAAATATGCAATCAAATGTCTAAGGGTAAAGTTTCTTCATGAACTCGGTGGATGTCAGTGTCTTTCTCCCTGTCTTTTACATTTTCAAAGCATTCAAAACAAACTCTTTGACTCAACATGATATAGCAAATGTTATTATCTGCAGGTTAGTACGTGCTCTGTTAAATAGCTTTTTGGATGTAATGGGTAACTGCACTAGGGAAATACAAAGAATTGAAGAAATGCCAGTGTTGTTTTTTATGTGCAGCAAAATTTGCCTGCCTGGTGAGCAAGTATATATCATTATATCTGCTTCTTTTACCCAGGACCCTGAGGCATTCAGTGATGCAAAATGGACACTGTTCATTCATGAACAGCATCGATCAGTATTATTTTTTCTTATTGCGTTTAGACTTCATATCTGACATATCATTCTAATCCTTCTGGGAAAGAAAATCTGAGTTTCCATGTAAATTTCACTGGACTAGCCAGGATGTTTCACAGATGAATGATGAGTTTATATTCCCAATGCTCTCTGGGAAAAGATGTGCTCTTGTCTACCCAAATTTTCAAGTAAAGAACTGAGGCAGAGAAAGATTTAAGGCCCTAAAAATCCATTGCAGTTTGGCATGAATTTTCTCCTCTTGGGTATCTTCCTCAGGACTTTGTAAAATACACAGGATTGTGTATATCCATGACATGTTTCCCAAAGCTATCAGCTAGCTGTAGCTGTAACTGAATTTCCAGACCTTCTGCATGTCAACTTAGATTTCTTCACTGCACTGCCCAAAAACAAAGCAAAAGAATTAGTGGGAGGACTGAGAAGCAAGACTTAAACATTTTTCCTTATTAGTTATTATGATGCAGGAATTCTGTGACAAGAGGAAGCAAAAAAAAAAAAAATTCAAACCTTCAGGGCAAATTTCAACTCTCTTGACCATGAAGTCCTTAATCTAGGACTTCCATATATCAAATGAATGACATGAATGAATCAAATGTCCCTTTCTGCCAGGGACTCTATTTTCTTTCAAATATTTCCCGCCCTCCAAAATAATATCTAAGTCTGCCTTTTCTCGTTTAATCCCATAAACAGGCAGTTTACTTCCAAATTTCATTTTCTGCTGCAAAACATAAGCGTGCTACAGAATTCAAAATAAGAAGTCATGACGATCTGTTGATACAGCAGAATGCTGTTGTCTCTGCTACATTCTCAGAAATAGCTAAAATTCATTAGCTGAAATTTTCCACAAAGAAAGAGAATGTAATATGCAATATGCAAAATTTCAGACTAGGTAGCACTAAAGTTATAATCTACTTAAAACAAGCTCTTTTATTAAGTAGTGTCATTCTAACAAGATGCAGGGAGACACCAACCCCTGCCCCGTGCCCCCCAAGTATTCTATTTACAATCTAATGTGTTAAATTAAAATATTTTTTTTACTATTTTTAACTTTGCAATTTTTCATGAAGTTCACATTTTGAACAAAAAGCCTTCTTACACTGCCACACAATGTGTAATAAAGTCAAGAAATGCATAATACCACAGTGGTGTCTGTAACTGTGAAACTTGAGATGATGACCCATAGTGGAAGAGGAGAAGTTTGCAGTAAGTTGTGTGGCTGCCAAGGTAGATTAATTTTTAGGGTCATCAGGTTAGTAATCTTAAAATCAGTGATGAAAATAATTACTAACTTTAGCGCTGTTTGAGGGAATATATACCCAAATTGTTGAATGTTTGGACTTTTTCTTAATTTAATTATGAAGACTAGAGAATCTTCCTTACTGTAATTCTAGTGCTTTTGTTTAAATAACATTTGACTGGGAGAAGCACTAAGCACATGGATGTTCTACCTATGCTGTCTTAAATTTAGATTGGAACATGAACATATGTATTTCATAAGGACATTTTTCTTTGTGGCAGGAAATTCTCCTTCCTCAAAGGAAAACCTTCTCAAAGCTAAAAGCAATCAGGAAGTAGATATCCCTTGCACAAGCTGCCCAAGATCTCTCAACACAACCTTAATTGAGGTTAATTAAATACCATAGGTTAAAACAGAATCATATCTTTTCCATGTTTCTCTCCTTATTTGCTGAAGAGAGGTTACCTGATGTCACTAGTTCTGTCCAGACAGATAAACTTTCATGCACAACTCTGTGACAGTCACAGGGGTATAATTCAAGGGCTGAGACAAATACTTTCTGCTTCATTTTACTTCTTTTACTACTCCGTGTGTGTGTACAGCAAAGGGATAGAAAGGTCAGTGAGTGTCAAGCTAATTGTGGATCCTGATGCATCCTTTCTCTGAAAACACTTGCCCATTGTCATTTAAAATTTTGCAAGCTGCTTTAGGAAGTTAATAAACCATGCTATAGCAAATATACTTTGATTATTATTTTTTGTGATGGAATGTAACAGTACCTATAAGATAGTATCTTTGACTATAAGAGACAACAGTTTCCTGGTTTGCTCTGCATTCTGTTATATAATTTGGTATACTTTATTCTTATGTATTAATATTTATCAGCCCTTTGGCACTGAAGCTTCCACTGTGGCCTACTGCCTGAAATGTGATGCGTGTCAGAGAATCCCAGATTCCAGTGTTCAAAGGGTTGCATGAGGAGAGAGTCCTGGTTACTTTAATGTATTTCCAAGGGGACTCTGACAGGGATGGGGAGCATTAACACAGCAGTTAGGAATCAATTACATAGCTTTGCAGGGTGGAACAAAAGGAACAGATATTTCCTCCAGGGACTCGTTACAAAGTTACACTGAAATTATTCCTCAGCCTTGATTTTTTTTTTTTTTTTAATGTGAATATTTTTCATATATTTGTGGGTTTTGGAAGTGAGTTTGCAACTATCAAACTAATATTCTTTTCAGTTCTGTACTAAAAACGGTATTTTGTAGATCTTCCTTTGGTAGGAAAATTGCGACAACAAAATTTGAAAATTTACTACTGCTTATCTGTCAGCTTCTTTTTCATAAAAAGATGAGCGGATGTTCAAAGCTGTGCCTCTTTGGAACTGTGTCCTAAAGGTATCGAAGTCACCACTTACACGCACCGACTTGAAGTATGAAGTTTCTGTGATTTACATCAGCTGGAGATCATACCTTATAATGATTCCCACGCTCACAGAATGAGAGAGTTCGTTGATCAGCCATCAGGAAGAAAGAGAAATTGTGTATTCCCCTTGTCTTATAATATTATTATTGATACTGCACTGGTTACAAATGGCACAACACATTTATGAACCAGGCCAATAAAATTCTCACTGTAAAACTTTCCTGATTCATGAATGAACAATGTGCTAAGTAGAAGTGCTTTTGCAAAAAAATAATTTGATTTTTCATTGTGAACCATGTCAGGTCAGCTGAACAATAAGCTCTTCCTTAGAAAAATTAAAGTCTTTAAAGATGGAAACCATGCTATCGCTGGTTATTTTCATACCCCTCTGTGTTGGATTTGGGATAATTTATCCCTTAACGCCCTATAAAGAATTTTTTATTACAACATGCATTGTGTCTAGACTTAATCAGGAGCTAGGAAGAAGGGTGTCAATGCGAACTCTGTTATGTATTTATGCAACATGGTCATCGGTTCACTGTCTGAACTGGAGTTCGTTGGGTAATTTTTAAAATTTTTATACATGCCGTCTGCAGGTATATATAGTTTGCCACACACTGAGATTTGAAGGGCACTTTCATTGCAATGATTAAAAGTTTGTGATGTACTGGGACAGTCATTAGCAGATTTTTTACAACATCCTGGCAGCTTTTTAACTGGGCGAAATATAGAGAGAGATCTAGTGGATTTAAGTAAAGATGTTACGGCTCTGAACTCTGCTTTATTTTTGAACACCTGTCTTTAAGCTGAATAACTATTATCTACTTGAATGAGAATGCAATAAATGTGTGATTTACTTTCACTTTAATGTTTTGTTATTTTTAAAGCGGTTGGCAAACCACAGGCTTCCTATTCTTAAAGGAGTAGCTGTCCTTGAAGTATGAGTGCTTCTCCCCTTTTATGGTGTCAGCAACCTG